GGTGCATTTCCTTGTGAAACCAGACTTTATTGCACTGCAGAGCTGGGACAGAGCCATTTGTTTGTATGGGCTAATGAAAGGAACCGAGTTCTGCACTGTTCCAGTGAAGAAGTTCCAATGTTGGGCTCGGAGCTGTTGCCTCAGGGATTCCTTTCCCAGCTCTCCGTGGCTGCCTGTGCCCTGCAGGCTCAGGGCTGGAGCAGGGCTGTGCTCTGCAGGGCTGGCACAGCCTCCCTGAAAATTCTCTAAATCCCAGTGCAAGATTGAAAATCCCTTCACTTACTGAGAACTTATTCTAAAACATCCTTCTGTTCTTGCCAGAATAAGTGGTTCAGGTATGGGGAAAAACAAGGATGTTTATTCTGTGTAAGGTAGGGGTCATAAAATAGGTCCAGATAAGGGTGATGTCCCTTATGACAGAACAGGTGATTTAATAAGTTTCTTTTGTAGGCATATATAGTAAAGGAATAGAGATTAATATGCAGTACAGACCTGTTTCAGAAACAATTACTTTCTTGGTTTTACCTCAAACAGGACACCCTGATTGTTTGGTCAGAAGCAGAGAACTATGATTTAGCACTGAGTTTTCAAGAAAAAGCTGGCTGTGATGAAATTTGGGAGAAAATCTGCCAGGTACAGTAAATTGAAACATGCTGGCTTTTCCGGGTATTTTAGTGTCTTGTGTGACTTGATGTATTTGTGCATCCTTTTGAAACGTGCTTGTAAAGTAAGCAAATCATTGTTCTTTTCTGAGCAAGGTCTTAAATTGGCCCTGCTTAGAGCAGCAGTTGTTCTTTCCCTAATTGAATGTCAGGCTTTTGAGAAATCACTGTAATGGTGGGACTCAGGTGTTTTTTGGGAGGGGAGTGGTGTTGGTGTGATTGTGTTCATTAGAAAGGGACTGCCAGAGTTCCATGGTGTAATTGTCCCTCCCCCAGCTGGCTCAGGAAGCAGCCTGTGGAGTGCAGGGGAACTGCAAGTGTGCTGGAGGTGTCAGGGAGAGACAAAGAGGTGGCAGTGCTGTGTGAGCCCCCAGCCACCAGAGCAAACCTCAGCGCCTCTCGTGTTTTAGGGCTATTCTCACCTTTCTTGTTTTATTATCAAGCAGTTTACATTGTACACTTGCAACTCTGGGAGCAGCAAAGCTGTGAACCTGCACCTCTGTGTCCTTAAAGGAAGCAACACTTTCCCATGGGAATCATCACAACCTTCCTAGATTTGACACGGCCCAGTGTAAAGCTGTGAACTAAAGAACCCGAGAGCTCCGATTTCCAGCAGCTCCCTGGGGAACTGAGATGTGCTGATAATCTCTGCAGGCACTGGGCTTGAATGTCTGCTCAGGGAGTTCTGCTGTTGCTGGCAGGAAACAATCCTAATAACCAGTCAGGAAGGAATAATACCATTTACTAGGAAGGTCCACAGTAGCCAGCAGAAAATCTGCTACAAAATGTTTATCTCTTTCAGAGAGATTTCTGACCCAAATACACCTCTAATTCCTTTTTTCCTAGGCAAAAGGTTTTCAAGGAATTCTGAATCTTTCTCCTTCTGTTACCTCAGGGGAGAGATGAAT